TTGATACTTAATATCATATTTCATTTTTAATATTTGTTTTATGATATATACTATTGGATTTTTGCTTCCATTTTTTTTGTTCTGTAAGTTTAGTTTTCATTTTGTTTCTTTTCAAGTATATACTTTTATTTGAATAGTTTAGTTTTATCTGTTAACATGATAAAAGAAAAAAAATGAGAAAAGTTCATTTAAAGTGAAAAAGGAAAATATGTGATATATATATATATATATATATATATATATATATTCTATTAAAATATAAGTATAAAACAACATTTACCTATTTTAAGTGATATTTTGTTAGATTTACACTACATATCATTTATTGTTTTCTTAAATAATCACTTCATTTATTGTAATCACTTTATTTATTCTATTCATTTTGTTTATTGTCCTACCTAAATATGAAAGTCCGAATGAAATTCGATTTTGATGTATAGAAATTTTAAAATAACCAAAAGTTCGGATAGTTGTACCAAAAATACCCATATTAAACGATTCGGTTCGAATATTTTATATCAGAACTAAAAATAACCAAAAGTAAACATATTCTTATTTGATTTGGATTACATTTTGATATATAATAATTTAAAAATATTCAGTTAATTATATAGTGACACATAAAATATACTACCTCTGTTTCATATTAAGTGTCGTTGTAAAGAATTTTTTGCGTTACAAAATAAGTGTCGTTTTTGGTTTTCAATGAAAAATTTATTAATTTTATCATGTAATTTGTTTTCTATTGGTTAAAATATGGTTAGGTGTATGGGTAACTTTGTTTTTATATAGGAAATATATAAAATTAATTGTTTTCTTAATCTATGTGCACAAGTGTAGAGTGACATTTATAATGAAACAGAGCGAGTATAACATTAATTATAAAATTATAAATGTGCGGATCAGTCCCTAAGGGCATGGTTATCGCCATATCTTAGGCCCATATCTTAGCTATTATTGCCCGAAATAAAAATGAAAAATACAGGAAACTCTTGCAAACGGGCCATCTCACTTCTTAGTTAAGAAGTTTTTTGGGCTCGTCCTTCAGGGACAGGTGTCAACTTTTCACGAGCGTGTAGGGTAAAGTGTCTCTCTCTTTCTCTCGTTCTTCTCATTTCGCCGTGGAAATGATCAGTGCTCTCTCGACGGCGATTTGGTGGGGGAATTAAATCTTCTCGTTTATTCATTCGTCATCCCAAGATTTCACCGGCGATTCATCGATTTGTTGGTACCTCCACAGCCGCCCATTGCCCTAATCGAAATCCTCTGCTCCGCCGATTGAAATCTAAAAAAAGGTACGTGTTCGTTCTCCGTTTTAGAGATTTCATTGCTGTTTCTGATTGTTTGGTTTGTGCATGGTTCGGAGAAGTCTTTCTCGTCTGCGAAAATCTTGAAAATAAAATTGTTTGCTTTGTGATTATGTGAGATAATTAAAATTGTTGTTTCTGATTGTTTGGTTTGTGCATGGTTCGGAGATATGTTTGAAATCGTGTTTGAATGTTCATGGGGGATTGACAATTTCTATTAACTAAAGTTTTAAAATCGTGTTTGAATTTTCATTTGGGATTGCCATTTTTAACAAAATTTTAATTGTCTATTGTGAGATTGTAATAAAGCTTATCTTCTATTGTTAGATTATCATACTTAACTCTTTAAAGAACATGAACTGACATATCCACCAAATTACGATAATTATTAATGTTAGCTCTGCTTTTGTACCATTTTACTGTGGTGGTTAATGCTTAGTTTAAAGTGAGCATTGAAGTGTTGTGCTATTACTTGCGAGTAGACTTCTCACTGCTCTGGTTGGTGTCTTAATGCTTAGTTACTTTTGTTTGAACGATGTGTAGTTTCCTTGAAACCAAATGCAGTTTTACTTTACTGAAGTTGTGTAGTTTCCTTGAAACGATGTCTAGTTTCCTTGAAACCATAATGCTTAGTTACTTTTGCTTATTACTTCTGCGTAGTTGGAGTGTATTGAAAGCAAACCCTATTTAACTTTAATGACATTGTACGACCAACTTAATAGCTTTGTAGTTCTCTTATAGGATATTTACTTCTGATTAGACTTTGGTTGTTTATGGTTACACATTATTATAGGAACTTATTACAAATCAACCTCGCCTATTTAACGTAAACCATCCTCCTCCATTCTATCATATAATCTCATTCATCTTGTTTTTTGCTGAAACCCTTAACCACAACATTTTATCTTCTTCACTATCTTCTCTTTTATCATTCCTATGGATTCAAGGCATCCATATACCTCGTCCTCGAGTTATGTAGGCCTTCTAAACAGTCAAAACGAGAGTGTCCAACAGGGAAACTTTCCTTACGAAAGTTTTCCTTCTAGTGTAGTCTTTGGAGCTTCAGAAATACCTCCTTTCAGTTCACAACAATCCGAAGCTCCAACTCAAGACATACCCGTGGAGCGCAAGGAGAGAATGAAATGGACCCCAGCCGATGACATGGTGTTAATCAGCGCATGGCTAAACACATCCAAAGATAATATTGTCGGAAATGATCAGTCACGTGGAACCTTCTGGCAACGCGTAGGAGACTATTTTGCAGCAAGTCCACTTGCTATAGAGAGGGGTGAAAAGAGAGAGCATCGCAACTGTAAGCAGAGGTGGCACAAGATAAATGAAGTCACTAACAAGTTCTGTGGAGCCTTTGCAGCTGCTGAGAGAGCGCACGGCAGTGGTCGGAATGAGATGGAACTCCTGAGTGAGGCTCATGACATCTTCTTGGCGAATTATAGAAAAAGGTTCAACCTTGAGCATGCATGGTGTGTGCTCAGGTATGAACAGAAATGGCTTTCACTCAATGCTCCTAAAGCCACAGCGAATCCTAAGAGAAAAAATAGTGAGGAAGTTTCCCAAGCTTCAAGTACCGATGTTGGTATGGATGAGATACGCCCTGAAGGTATCAAAGCCGCAAAAGCCAAACAGAATAATGGTAAAGAGAAGGCTCATAATGATTATAAGAGCATTTGGGAGATCAAGAAGGCTGAGTTGACGATGAAGGAGCAGCTCTGTAAACTGGCTATACTAGACACACTCCTAGCTAAAAAAGAACCTCTATCTGAGGCTGAAGAAGTACTTAAGAATAAGCTAATGCTTCTTGCTTGAACGCTGTACTCTGTTTCTGTTTCTGTTTCATGTTGAATGTTTTTGTTTCTGTTTCTGTTTCATGTTTCTATTTAAGTTTCCGTTTGTGTTTCATGTTTAATTATGTACTTCAAGTACCGTTGTTGCTTTAATGACTCATGTTTAATTAAAATCTGTCTCGTTTGTTATATGTCGTGTACTCAGAGACTGCTTGAAATGATTGTGTTTTTAAATTGTTGGTTAAGCAAGCAGTTTGAACCATTAATTGGAATCCTCTACTTATTACTTGTTGGTTAAGCAAGCAGCAAGAATGATTGTGTTTTTAAATTGTTGGTTAAGCAAGCAGTTTTTAAATGTATCCGACCCTTGCATGAACCATTAATTGGAATCCTCTACTTATTACAATGGTATTTTTCAACTTTGTGCATCGCATTCATAATAAAATTGCTCTTGTTTAATTAATGGTTTGCAGGTTTAGGAAGACATGGGACTAGATTACAGCTACTCCCAGCCATCTACATCAGATGACTATGGTGGGAACACAGTGGACAGTGCGTACAGCGAAACTGATGATCTTATCCGTATGGATCAAGCAGAGCTCGATCTTATTCGTATGGCTCAAGCAGAGCACGATCTTATTCGTATGGCTCAAGCAGAGCACAGTAACATTTGTACACAGCCGCCTCAGTACCCACCACAACCTGAAGTCGAGTTCGGGTTCCCGCAGACATGTTACTGTGGTGGGCAACCTATTCTAGGAACCTCGACCGGAAGAAACAACCCTGGTAGAAGATACTACACTTGTGCGAATGCTGACGATGGAGACTGCCATGTTTGGAAGTGGTGGGATGTCGCGGTTATGGAGGAGATGAGAGCATTGGATAGACACACACATGAGCTCGCTGAGAAGGTAGATTTTCTAACCTTCATGACTGATTATGACACTGAGCAGAAGTTGTGTAACCTAGAGAAGATAGTATCTGAGCTAGGTAACAAGAATGCAGGTTTAACTAATCAATTTGAAAAAGCTGTTTGTGTTTTGGTCATTTTTTTAGTGGTATTAGGTTTGGCAGTAATGTTTAAGTAACTAAAATTCTGTGTAATTTGTAATGGTTGTGTAATGGTGAGATAATGGTTTGTCTAATGGGACGGATATGTGTAATGGTTTGTTGTAATTTGTAATGGTTTACCTCTGACTTATGTTTTAAAAAAATTTGTACTGGCTTGCTTTGTAAAACAGACAAGATTTTGAAGCCTGATTCTCTCACTTTCCCGTGACCTGAACAAACAAACAAACAAACTCACATCACTCGCCATGACACCATGACCTATAACATAACTTTCCCGTGACCTATAACTTAACTTTCCCGTGACTGAGAATGGTTCTCGCCAAAATACAAACGCATCACAGCAGTAAGACATATGAGAAAATCATCCTATATAAATCTGAGAATGGTTCCATCAGTTTCCCTTATACAAAGAAAATTATTCTATTCTCTTCTATAAATTCTTCTACTCTCTTCTCCTCCCTTTTTAATTCAAAATGGCATCTTCATCCCATTACCATTACCACCACAATGATGATGATGATGCTGAATTTGATTCTCTCTTTGACGAATTATTAGAAATTCCTGATACTATTCCGGAACCAAAAGAGCGAAGACCTCGATGTTATATCGACAGAAACCGAGAAGACGGCCACATAAAGCTCTGGAATGATTATTTTTCTGAAACTCCAACATACCCGGCCAATATTTTCCGGCGACGATTTCGAATGAGCAGGCCGTTGTTCATGCGTATTGTTCATCGTCTCTCAACAGAAGTAGAGTATTTTGCTCAAACAGAAGATGCAGTTAGACGGCAAAGTCTAACACCGATCCAAAAATGCACTGCAGCAATTCGTCAATTAGCATATGGTGGTGGGGCTGATACGGTAGACGAATATGTCAGACTTGGTGAAACAACAGCTCGAAAATGCTTGCACAAATTTACCGCTGCAATTATCCACTTGTTTGGCGATGAATATCTGAGACGTCCAACACCGGAGGATCTTGTAAGACTACTACATATCGGCGAACAACGCGGCTTTCCCGGGATGATTGGGAGCATTGACTGTATGCATTGGGAGTGGAAGAATTGCCCCACCGCTTGGAAAGGTATGTATTCACGAGGAACCGATAAACCAACAATTGTGCTGGAGGCCGTAGCTTCTTATGACCTCTGGATATGGCACGCATTTTTCGGAGCTCCAGGTACTATGAACGATCTTAATATTCTTGATCGATCACCTGTTTTTGATGACATTATTAACGGAGTAGCTCCGCAAGTCGACTTCCATGTCAACGGGAGAGAGTACAATTTCGCCTACTATCTCACGGATGGTATTTATCCAGAGTGGGCGACATTTATTCAATCTATCCGACTACCACAGGGTCCAAAACATTCATTATTTGCTAAAGTCCAAGAATCTGTCCGAAAAGATGTTGAGCGGGCCTTTGGCGTCCTGCAAGCTAGGTTTGCCGTTATTAAAAATCCATCTAATTTATGGGATAAATCGAAGATAGCAAATATTATGAGAGCATGTATCATACTCCATAATATGATTGTCGAAGATGAACGACGTACACGGACTCAAGATGACACGTTTCAAGATGAGGATTTATCTTTTTGCGTCAAGATGCCCACTCAGCTTTTCAATACACTTGATCGTCGAGCAAGAGTTCGGGATAGACCGGTCCATAAACAATTAAAATCCGATTTGATCGAAAATATATGGAATCGATTTGGAACTGAAAATTAACATTTTCTCTTTAAGTTTCTATGAGTTGAATAAAAAAATTGCTTGTTGCAATTTTTAATCTTTTTTTTTTAACTTTGAAATTTTTTTTTATCTTTGTAATTTTTTTCCAAATTTGTTATTCTCAAATGTTTTCTATTTTATTAATGTTATATGTTTTATTAATGATATATGTTTGATTTTAAACAAAAATAACTTACTAAAAATAACTATTTAACTAAGAACCGAAAAAAGTATCTACCAATAATCTTCTCTTTTACACAAGTATCTTAACTTCATCTCTTAATCTACATATATTAATAAACTATCCTAAGAAGCTTCTTCCTCGTCCTAGCAATGAGGATGCCCTTAGTTTCTTACAGAAGGGTCGAGATTTGGTGAATTGTTGAAGATTTAGCACTAAATTAATCAACTTAATAAATAAAAAAATAAAATTTTACACTTCTTTTATTGGGAGCTGACGTCAGCATCTCGACTAGCGAGTGATCATGACGCGAGATAAAATGTGGGCCTAATAAACGAAGAGAGGCCCAAATATAAGCACAAAGGCTCAACGTCGAGCTCGGTATTGCAAAGATTTAGAGAGCGAAGAAGAAGAAGAAGAAAGAGATGGGAGGCGAAGAGGAGACGAAGAAGAGAGAGCTAGTCGAATCGCTGGGATGGATAACGGAATCTTCAATCATGCCGAAGAAGCATCGCGCCATCGAAGGCGTGGGTCCTTCCTCAATCATGGAGCTCAAGGCTCAGCTCTATAAGTCTCAGGAAGAAGCTAAGCAGACGAAGGATTTCACTGGATCCGATGCTCAGTACCACCGCGCCAAAGAAAGGATCGCCGCTAAAGATTCTTTCGCCGCCAAGAACTCCGGCGTCGAGAGTCGCGCTCTCAAGTAAGTCCGAATCTTCAAAAAAATTGCTATCAATTAGGGTGAAACGAGATGGTTTGTGAATTAGGGTTTTATTGATTTGAGAATTAGGGTTTGTTAATTGATTAATATTAGATGTGGATTAAGCAAAAAAGTATGAAACTTGGGCAGGTTGGAGAAGAATTCAGTTTAGATGATTTGGGAATTAGGGTTTTAAATACGAGATTGTTGTTTGCTAATCGATTAGGATTTGAATGAGAATCAAGCTTCCAAGCTTAATTAGATTGATTGATATGAAATTGAACGTAGATTAAGCAGAAGAGTATGAAAATTGGGCATGTTGTAGAAGAATCTCACGTTAGATGTAACTTATTTAAGACGATAGGACTTGGTTATGGATTCAATAGTTTGGTTTTGAATGTGGGAAGTGCAGGGACAAGCTTGAACTTAAAGCTGTTAAAGACGGAGCAGTTAGCTACGCTGCGTTGGAGAAGAAGGCTCAGTTATATGAGAAGCTTGCAAGGGGAGAGCTTTCAGATGAAGAAGCCGAGGAGAAATACTGTGTGGATTTCTTCAGGAAAGGAATAGAACATGGAGAAGATTTACAACCAACCAGGAGTAGTAACAGTTCCATTTCGGCACCACCTGAGGATTTAAAAGCAGATGGCGAGGATGATGGTTCGCTGTTTAGCACCAAATTTGCTGGACTTGGACGTGCGGTTGAGACAGCTGATATAAGTCAACACGTGCGTATGGTCAGGTAAATTCCATTGTTGTGTTTTCTTTGTTCTCCATGTAGTCATGTGTATGATAAATAGCACAAAGACAGAGATAGAAGGAAGCAAGTTCCCTGCTTTTATAAAGTAAATCAACAATGCAAAAAACTTTTTGTGCAGAGAGGTTCATCAAGAAGTGAATCAAGCTAGAGAAAAGGCAACAGAGTTGAAGCAAAGGAGACAAGAGCAGGCAACAAATCGTCGGGAGAAACTCAAACAAGCTTATCTTCGGAAGCAGCTCGAGAAACTTAAAGCTCAACAACAACAACCGCCGCAGCAACAAGATGAGGGAAAAACTTGATTCTTTTGATGTTGTTTTTACTTCGCCAAGCTTTTAATGACTTGAGAGAATATAAATCCCAGAAAAAAGGTAATCAAGCCGACCCAAGAAACTGCAGAATTTTTTTAATGACATTTGATTAGATGGTTAGCTTTTATATTGTAATTGTACTGTTATGTTATTTTGTAAAGAGTAAGTAAAAATTTTGTTTGCCAATCTCTGTTACAGAACAATATGCTTATAAACATATGATAATTCTGTACTACAACAGGTTGTTTAGTTGTAAAGTCTCCGTTACAGTTTTCTGGTGCATGCTAGCCCAAGTTCGATAATTTTATTCCCAATGTGTTTCAAGTAGTTTTATAAATACAATCACATAGCATTATCAGACGACAGTTTGGCCGAGTGGTCTAAGGCGCCAGATTTAGGCTCTGGTCCGAAAGGGCGTGGGTTCAAATCCCACAGCTGTCAAACCTTTTTCATTTTTTGTGGCAAGGATATTTCAGTTAATTTGACTGCCCAGTTTCGGAATCTATACGGCTGCGACTATCACAAATTACTACTAACTACATTACACTCTAGAAGAAAATGTAAGACAGCTTTTAAATTTTGCAGAAGATTGATTGTCTAACGAAACAACAATAGTTGATGCTTCTTGTACCTACATTGGAGAGAATATGGCAGTCTCGGAATCTTTGAACGCAAACGGCTGGATCCTCATCGGGACGTGGTCACGTGGACAGTGCTTGATGCAGAGGTGTGTGGATGGTTGAAAAATCACAGACTTCGACTACGGTAAACAATGTCTCTACGGGGTCCTATGACCGCCAATAGGAATGGTCATATGTAACTATGTGCAACCTATAAACTAATATTGGCATCGCATTAGGTGGTTTGGTAATACGAGATCATTCAGATGGCATCTCTCAATGGGGGAGCAACTCAACTCAGGTTGATGGATTTGGCTTTGGAAAGTCTTGATTGATCATCTTCACCAATTAACGTTTTCATTAGAGATTGTCAATAGCCATGTTCGTTTAATTAACGCAGCGACTAGCGGCTGCGACAATAAATTACACTATGACGGAGGCAAAATCATTGTCCTCGAAACTAAAACAGTCGCCACTGGTTTATGATCAATGCGAAAGCTGAGTCGCAGCTTGCGTTGCCGCTGACGCTAAAAAATTAAGCGTCGTATTTATTAGATTTCACTTGCCGCGGCGGCTAAAAAACAAACCTGTATAGTCCTGACTGTGATGTTTTTGCCGTAGCCAAAGAAGCAATTTCTTCCCATTACCGCTGATTGCAGCGTTTTATAAACGAACAGGAATACCTAAAAAAACATCAGTTGGTGGGGACGTAAGTTCACAAACTGTATATAGAGAGTTAAATAAGGTGACATATGTTTAGCCAAAAATGCCTTGACAAGTCCTAGTTTATGTCCAAAACTGTCTGTATCGGTGTTTCCACAAACTGCTCTTTCTAACATCTATATAGGGAGTCAAGTGAGGTGACACATGCTTTACCCAAAAAAAGCCTTGACAAGTCCTAGTTTAAAATTCAAAACTGTCTGTATCCACCAAGGTGGTTAAGTCACCTTTTACCTAAAGACTTAAAAGACTTTATACTTTATCCTAGCAATAATACATCTTTGCCGGAAAAAAAACAAAAAAAAAACGAGTGGCTGAGTTAATTGTTCAGAAGATAGGCAGACATACACCAGGCTCCTGAAGACTTCGTTCTTTTTTACCAACCAAAAGGATGAAGCAAAAGATAACATAACAAAAAAAAAAAAAAAAATCAGAGTTTATTGTTAGTTTTAAAAACAAAATTCTTATAAACTTATGGCAAAGAAGTTGCTACTGATTGTCCTCCTTGCTTCACACTTGTTCGTGTCCGGTACGGTGTTGTTTTGTTTTCTTGATACTTGTAAATTGTTTATTCTTCCTTAATCATAATTCTTAAACCTGTTCGCAGGAGTGTTGTCGGGGAGTATCCTTACCATAGAGAACAAATGTAATGAGACAGTTTGGCCAGTTATCTTCTCATGGGTATCAAACCTCTCCACCACTGGTTTCGTTCTCAGAAGCGGCGAGGCGCGTACTCTACCGGCGCCGTTCTCATGGTATGGTCTTATCTCGGCTAGGACCCACTGCTCAACCAACTCGACTGGTTACTTCTCGTGCGCCACCGGAGACTGCGAATCCGGCATCATAGAGTGCCCCGGCACATATGATTGGTATCCCGTGACGTATGTTTATTTTAGAACCAATCACGACGGAGTTAGCAGCTACACCATCAATGTGGAGCACGGTTACAACCTTCCCTTAGTGGTGGTACCGTCACAACCTAGCCAGACATGTATCAGCGCTGGTTGTTTGGTTGACTTGAACAATACTTGTCCAGAGGATCTTGGTTTATTCACCGGTGGGAAACAAATCGGCTGCAGCAGCGACTGCCAAAAGTATAACACGAAAGAAATTTGCTGCACCCATGACTTCAAGTCAAAGCAAAGATGCAAGAAGACGATGTACATGCAGAACTTCGAACGCGCTTGCCCACTCGTATTTAGCTATGCCTTCGACGATAATAACAGCACCATGATATGCCCTAAGTCAACTGACTTTGTCCTCACGTTTTGTCCCTCGTCCCTTCCTAATAGCACCAGGTCAGACTCTGTTCCATTTCTATTTTGCTGAGAACTGATTAAATAGCGAGAAAGTTTTTTTGGCTACATTGTACGTCTCTCTCTATATATAGGCACACACATTAACATCACAACCTTGGAACATAGATGTAAGTTTTAGAAACCTTCTTCCTCTCATAGTCTCATCAATAGTATAAAGCTTGAGTCTCCGCCACTGATGAAGAACTGATATCAACAAATGAAATATTAGTTCACTCAAGAATGAAACTGAATATTTAAGATAACTTTCCTCTTAACTCTACTCTCTTTTGGAAATTAAGGTTAATTCTTTGAAAGATCTATTATAGGATGGGTTTGCGGGTCAAACTACCACACTTGACTGGCCAACCCGCTGGTCTGACCCTATTTTTATCCTAAAACTAGGTAATAACTCTCGCCTTGTATGGAATGAGATTATTAATTTCATTATTTCTTAAGATAAAAAGATACTATGTCTGCTTAATCTAGATATCGGTTCGGTTTTAGGTTAGTTTTTTTTAATCTATTAAATTATACTTACTATTCTTAATCAATATTTATTCTATTTATTCAGTTAAAATGCTTGAGTTATTTTTTTGAATTTTTCAATGTTAACCAAAAACTATTATTATTTGTTTTGTTTCATGTTATATGAATTTTAGACAGTCCTCATGTCAAACCAATGGTTTCATATTATAATTTCTAAAGACATGAAAAATCAAATCAAATCTAGATAAACTTAAAGAAAAATAAATTATTAAGACAAATCATTTCATTACAATTTGGTCGATGGTGAATGGAAACATCAAAAAAGAATATTTCAGCTTCTTAGAGAAATAGAATCCTCACTTGCAGTGAATATTTAGTCATATAGGTACTCACGTCAATGTGTACATGTATGTAAGCCTAGGCAAAATATCCGAAAATTTTGATTTGATTCATTATCCTTTTTGATTCGAACAAAAAATTTGGATATGCGTAACTCTATGAATAAAAGCAAATACTAATATGCAATATCCATAAAAACGAAGCAAATCACAAACAATAATATTTTTAAAAATGGATATTCGATCTGATTCGTTATATGCTTATATATATTTATATATACCTATATTTAATGAATTATATATATATAAGCTATATAAATAATATATTCTAGCCTAATAAGATATTTATTAGTTGATGTTTCATTAATTTAAAAACTAGCATAATAAGATATTATTTATATTTTCAAAAAGTACAAATCAAACATCAAATAATTATCAATGACAAAACTCAAAGATCAGAAATATTTAAAAGAATATATTTCTATAATTATTTTTCTCGATTTATGTTTAATTATAATATTAAGAAAAATATTTTTACTTAATTTATATTTAATTATAATTTTTTATATTTTAATTTTAAATTTATAATAGAAAAACATATTTTCAAGATAACAATACAATGCATAAGTTATTTATTTTCTAAAAATATAATATGATAGAACTTTTAACTATATAATATTATAGAAATTATGACATATAATTAAAATTTTCTAAAATTATGGAGAACTTAGAGCACCCCTATCAAGGAATGATGGGGGAGGTTCACACTTTTACCAAGAAAAAAAAAATAATACAAAAGTTGTGAACCCATGTCGCATGGGCTCCCTGCCATAAACCCGGATCACTACTGTTTCGTGGGCCCCACGCCATGTGGCGGCCCATGATTGGTCAGTTTAAATTTTTTTTTAAATCAAACGAAAAAAAATAAAAATAAAAAGTTCAGCTTGTGAACCCCAACTGGGGGTTCATTAATGCTGATGCTCTTAACGAATCAGCAAATTCACTTTTTAAATATATTTTCTTGAGTGATGATTTATATGTAATTAATAATAGATAATTTTCCTATTTTAATTTTAAATTATATAATATAAAATATATATATAACAACATAATACATAAGAATTACCTTATTTTATAAAAATAGAATATTAGTAGTGTAGATTTATTTCAATTATAGAATAACTACTACAACTTCTTATATCTTAATTTTAAATTTCTAATAGAAAAATCTATTCTCAAGACATCAACTTAATACATAAGAAGTATTATTTTCTAAGAATCTGATACTATTAATACAAATTTATCTTAAATATAGAATAAATTATATATAAAATCATAGAAACTATGATAAATTATCAAAATTACGTAAAATCATGGAAAATATGACAAATCAGAAAACATCAATTTCACTTCTTAAATAATAGTATAGATATTTTATATGTTAATTTTTAATATAAAAATATATTTTAAAGACAATAGCATAATATATAAGAATTAACTTATTTTATAAAGTATTATACTATTAATATAAATTATTTTTAATTATATAATCAATAATAAACAAAATTAGAGAAATTCTGATAAATTATAAAATTACCTAGGATCATGGAGACAAATCAACAAATTCACTTTTCAAATAATTGTTTTGATGATTTATATTTAATTATTAATAATATAATTTTTATATCTTAATTTCAAGTTTTATAATAGGAAAATATATTTTTAACATAACAACATAATACATAAGAATTATTTTATTTTAGAAAAACATAAAATTATTACTATAATTCGTTTTTATTATATAATAAATAAATAATTTTTATACCTTAATTTAAAATTTATAAGTTTTATATATAAAAATATATTTCAAGATAACAATATAATTCACAAGAATTATCTTATTTTCTAAAAATATGGTATATTCATATAAATTTGTTTATTTATAAAGAAATTATATATAATATTAAAAATATGATAAATAAACAAAATTATCTAAACTTAAGGAGAACATGACAACTAAGCAAATTTACTTCTTTATATTTAATTATTAATAATATAATTTTTATATCTTAATTTCAAGTTTTATAATAGGAAAATATATTTTCAATATAACAACATAATACATAAGAATTATTTTAGTTTATAAAAATATAAAATTATTAATATAAATTCGTTTTAGTTATATAATAAATAGAATTTCTTATATCTTAATTTAAAATTTAAGTTTTATATATAAAAATATATTTCAAGATAACAAAATAATTCACAAGAATTATCTTATTTTCTAAAAATATGGTATATTCATATAAATTCGTTCATTTATAAATAAATATTAAAAATATGATTAATAAACAAAATTTCCTAAACTTAAGGAAAACATGACAACTAAGCAAATTTACTTCTTAAGTAATAGTATAGATATAGGTTTTACAAAAAAAAGTTTTACAATTTTTTTTATTTACTAAATTAGGTATTAGTATTCAAAAAAGTAAATGATTTTTTTGTAAAAAAAAATATTATTTTAGATTTCTTTATTTTTTAATTAATTTATTTATTTTTACGGATCAAAACCGGTTAAAATATACTTTTTCTGGGATAGCGTATGTCTGGATGGCTACGAATCGAATCGAATCAGATAAATGATTATTCAGACAAAATATATTGTATCACGAATACCTTCAAAACCTTGGATATCCAATTTGTGTCCACTGTTACATGTGTGTGTAAGTAAAATTTATATAAAGGTGGTTGATAAATATATGAAGATGCCGTAATTAACATTAAAAGAATTTTTTGTTCAAAATAAACATGAAATATAATATTCTATTAAATAAATTAAGTAAAAATAAAATAAACCTTGACAATAGTGATTTTTTGTAAATTCTCTTTCAATATAGAACTTTTGTATAACCTATAGAACTGTGTATGTAAGTCTTATATTGAATTTTTTTTAAATAGTATATGATATGAACACATTTATGTAGAGTTTGGTTGAGAAGCTCTTTACACGTAACACGTCAACGTACTCGTTCTCAAATCGATATGAAGCTGGCACGAGGCAGACATAATGTAAACACATTAAATGATAATGTTTCTCTTTTAATGTATATGAGATATATGAGATTTTGACCCGCATAACCCCAAGAAGAAAAAAATCATATACGCACACCAACTTCGTTGAGATTTGCGGGTAACCTTTGGGACCCGCAGATAATATTAAATTGCACAAAATAATTATCTTTATATATTAAATATTTTATAAAATATTATATATTATATAATTTTTACTATTTTTTTTATTTTACAATTTTGTTTTTTAATTTCGCGAATTAGCGGGTTCTGCAACTCAGATTCTGCTAACCCACATCTGTGCCATGTAAAGAACTTAAGATCGATATAGTTTAACCTTTTATCTTATACTAGTGATCAGTCCCGTACTACTTACGGGTAAATAATTATTTTACTTTTGATATAGGATTTTATTCTATCTTAGTATTAAAGTTGTATGAAGAAAGTCAATTTAATCCTAAGTGATTCTAAGTAATGAGAATACAAGACATAAGCTTAGTCTAAATGCAATTAGTTTAGTTGATGTGAACAGAAGTAACAAGACACTAAGCAAGACAAATAACTATAACTTTCAATCAATAAAGAATAAGAGAACCCATGGGCAGGGGTATTGACTTTGGGTGATTAAGATCTAACTTAGAGTGCTAATACAAACAAGCAATCAAGTTTTGTAAGCCTATATACAATCACTAAACTAGTTCTTTGTCAAGATAAGAGTTCATTTGCTATCAATCACTAAACATCAAATTTCTTTGGATTAATTTAATCAAGCAATCATTGAGAACAAGTCTACTAACTATCTAAGATTCCCTAACATCAAATGACTTTGGTTAAGAACGTAAAGAGTATTATCACTTTGGTTCAGACATTTCATCAAACACCTTCCAGGCATGAAATGTCTAGAGATCTAGATTAAAGAGATCAAGTCTAAACTAGCATTGAGAATAAGAAATAAGCATAGAACATGAAAGATCTAACACTAAACACTCTAAATCATCACTTAATTAGCTAACCCATAAGTTCAAAGAGAGTTTACTCACTAATCACTAGGTTTAACCTTAAATCCATGATGAATTCAAGACTAATCATGTTAAGAAGATGAGATAAACTCAAATTACTCCAAAAAAAAAGATTAAAT